ACCCTGGACCCTGGACAGTACAGAGCACAGGCCAGCACCACGCTGACCCCTGTCCTGAGCCACACTGACCGCTGTACAGCATCAGAATCACACTGACCCCTGTCCACTGGGAGACACTGGAGTAAGACACTGGGGTGAGAGAGTGTTGTAGGTGAGACACTGGGAGAGAGAAAGGAGACACTGGGGTGAGGGAGTGATGTGGGTGAGACACTGGGAGAGAGAGAGGAGACACTGGGAGAGGAGAGAGAGAGGGGTGAGAGATATGGACACAAAAAGCGCAATATATTCCACTGCATCATTGTTTATAAATCACACCGTCGGTGTTTTAAAGTTTAATTGCAGAGAGGAGGGACGAGTGAAGCCGCTCTCACCCGGAGGAGAGAGAAAGGGTCTCGCAGCCGAGTGCGAGTAAGCAACACCTGGACAGGCCGGCAGCTGGCTGCAGTCACGCCTGCTCAAACAGCCAGCCGCACGGAAAGGCGGCTCAGACAGCGAGCCGTGCGTCGCCAGACCAGTGCGCTCCGCTCAAGCGTTCAGCTCAATGCAAGACGAAACTGGTCGAGACGCAGTTTCGCTTCCCTGTCCCACGGCCTCGCCTGCTCTCGGCGCTCGGCGCTCACTGAGCTCTCCCCTCCCCGGCGAGCCCGGCTTGCTGTAGCCCGCCAGGCGGGAGGACAGCGGCGCTGCCGCGGCTCGCCGGGGTGCGAGCGAGGCTCCCCCGGCTGTGCGTCACCTGCGCGCCCGGGCCTCACCTACACGCGTCTCCAGCAGCTGCACGATCACCACGAGAAAGCAGAGCCAGAGCCTCCGTGACAGCATCCTGCCCGAAGCCCCAGTCCTCCTCCAGCGGCTCCCGGCTGCTGCCCTGGCGCCTCTCCCCAGAACCAGAGCCCCGCTCCGCCGAGGGAGGAGCCGGATTGGCAAGCTGCTCGGATTGGCTGGCAGCGGCGCGATTGCAGAGACGCGATTGGCGAGCAGGGCCATCAGTCTCCGCAACAGCGAATTAAAACTCCGCGCTTCCGGGCAGCTGGGGGCGGTGATTTCTTCCTGGCAGAGAGGCTTGTGTGCTGCGAGTCGGGGCTCATTACTGTCGTTAATTAATATCCACAAAGCGGCCTGCTTCAGTATCTGCGCAGGCGTCCGCATGAATCCTGTGTGTTCGCGGTCCAGTTCCCGCTTGAGTGCTTGTTTTGCACCCTGTAGACAGGACGTATTTTTTCCAGTCAAAATATACTTTATTTCACAAAAAAAAATCTCACAATACGTACACATTCTAACAAATGATCAAACTTGCATCAATTAAGAACTTTCTAAATGAGGTGATTGTCCGTTATCAATCAGTGCATGTGGAAGATAGGGCTGGATTTGCACAATGAGAGAGTCCCGTCAAGCCCCACCACTTGCTTTTGTCCGTTTCCCTGTCCCGGCTGTGAAACCGCAGGGCAGGAGCTCTGGGATCAGGGATTTCCTCTTCATCCCTGTACAGGGCCCACAGTGACAGCATATCAGTGCCCTGAGTGTGAAGCTATTAATAGACTCATAACGTGCAGTTTGTAGTTCAAAGATTGACAAATTTGAATGTAAGTCAAACTGTCCTAGAGATGGCATAGAAAAGCCTTGTTGAGAGCATCCTGGCATTTAACATGACAGTTTAGTTTGGAACTGTCCAGGACTGCGATCTATATCATACAGATCTCAGAGTGGCAAGGAGCATGACCACTCTCAATTCATCACACTCCCATCAGGGAGACCACCAAATTCAAATAAAAACATCTATAAGAAGTCTTTTGTCCCTTCTGCAATAAAACTGCTCAATGAATGTATGTGAATGTAGTCCCCTCCACTACCTGTTTATCCAATTAATTTCTTAATTTCTGGCCAGAAAGCGCCAGTGTGCTCCCCAAAAACCAGCTATCAGTGGGGAGGAGAGCAGAGTGATGAAGCCAGTTGAGAGATGGGGGTTATTAGGAGGCCATGACTGGTAAAGGCCAAGGGGGAAATTTTGCTAGGACACTGGGGTAACTCCCCCACTCTCTTAGAGAAACACTGTGGGATTTTTAATGACCACAGAGAGTCAGGACCTTGGTTTTAAATCTCATCAGAAGGACAGCACCTTTTTAAAGTATAGTGTCCCCGTCACTATACTGGGGCATTAGGACCCACACAGACCACAGGGTGAGCGCCCCACACTGGCCCCTCTTATACCTCTTCCATCAGGTATCTTAGCTTTCCCAGGAGTCTCCCCTCCAGGTACTGGCCAGGCTCACACTACTGAGCTCCAGTGGGCCACCAGTTGTGAGATGTAGGGTGACATGGCTGCTGGCTAACAACATCCCTTCGTGTGCTGTTGTTATTTCAGTACTTCATGTGATTGTATGTGACTCTTATGTTTTGCTTGTGTGTTCTGTACTTCTGTGGGAGAAGCCAAGGGCAAATTTCCACAGCAGTGGACAAAAGTATCGATATCTGTCTATAGGATTTTTACATAATAAAAAGAGTAAGAGCAGTGTTTACAGCTTGGCGAATAATTTTATTAAAAAATTATTACAAAACAGATGAGCAGCTTTGTAGACGGAAAGGACCTAAAGGGCAGCACAGACGCACCTCACAGACCCCCAGTGAGCCCCATGTCCGGTGCCTGTGCTGCCTTCCTCCTCCTCCTGCAGTGGATGGTGCCGGCGCCCCAGGCAGCTCTTCTCTTCTTGTGTGCCTCCTGGTCTTGCCTGTGTCTGGTCTGGACGCCCTTGTCCTGCCCCCTCAGCTGACAAACAGAGAGATGAGGTCAAACTCCAGGAGAACGAGGGGGTAAATACTGATACTGATTTACCAGGATGGATTTGCTTAGAAGGCAAATCTGGATTAATTCTGAATCTTGTAACAGCTCTGAACCTCCATGCATGCTGACTACAAGTTTGAGAGAGAGTGCAGGCTTGTGAGGTGTGCAGGGGCTCAGTGTGTCCTTCAGCACGGGGTGGGGCAGCCTGTACGAGTGACACCCTGCTCTGGACAGGGACACAAGAGGCTCTCCTCAGGGCCGTCTGCTGCTGTGAGAGGAGTGTGCAGACATCAGTGTAGGACATTATAATAATAATAATAATAATTGCTTACACTTATATAGCGCTTTTCTGGACACTCCACTCAAAGCGCTTTACAGGTAATGGGGACTCCCCTCCACCACCACCAATGTGCAGCATCCACCTGGATGATGCGACGGCAGCCATAGTGCGCCAGAACGCTCACCACACATCAGCTATCAGTGGGGAGGAGAGCAGAGTAATGTAGCCAATTCATAGAGGGGGATTATTAGGAGGCCATGATGGGGTAAAGGCCAGGGGGGAAATTTGGCCAGGACACCGGGGTTACACCCCTACTCTTTTCGAGAAGCGCCCTGGGATTTTTAATGACCACAGAGAGTCAGGACCTCGGTTTTACGTCTCATCCGAAGGACGGCGCCTGTTTACAGTATAGTGTCCCCGTCACTATACTGGGGCATTAGGACCCACATGGACCGCAGGGTGAGCGCCCCCTGCTGGCCCCACTAACACCTCTTCCAGCAGCAACCTTAGTTTTTCCCAGGAGGTCTCCCATCCAGGTACTGACCAGGCTCACACCTGCTTAGCTTCAGTGGGTTGTGTGAAGACGACGTGCTGCTGATTCATATGGGCAGATCGCGTCTCTGGTGCCAACCAGCTCCGCCCACTCTACTAAAACCCACTAACTTCACCAGCTCTGCCTACTCTGCCAGCCCCACCCACTCCCCTGGTCCTGTCCAATCCACCCACTCTATCAGTCCCACCCACTCCCCCAGCAATGCCCAATCCACCTACCCTACTCACCCTGCCAGCCCAACCCACTCTATCAGTCCCACCCACTTCCCCTGCATTGCCCAATCCACCTAACCTACTCGCCTTCCCAACCCCACCCACTCAACCAGTAACGCCCACCCCACATCCACCCATTCGGCAGCATGATTTTCTGTTTTACCCTCAGCGGGCGATTTCTTGGTGTTTCTGGGTGAAGAGGACCCTGTCACTTTTACATTGATCATAAGAGTTCTCTAGATCTAATTTAAGTATGCAGGCCTTCCTCCAGAGCAGCCGGGTTGCTCCAGGGTCCTGGAAAGCAGGACAGGGTGGAGAGGATCATGGATAGCTCCCCCACTGTATACTTGAGCTCCAGCTCTTCCCTGTGAGCCGGGTAGTGGGAACAGAGTCTGCAGCTCAGAAGACCGAATAGACTGGTTAGAAGAAAGCAACAGCAAACCTGACTGCTGCTGTGTCAGGGGCCAGGACTGGTTTTTGAGAGTCCATTAAAGAAACAGGATCAGCCTGGTAGAGTAGACCAGTGTGCTGAGGACCCTCCATGAGGCCCTGCTCCACTTCGTGCAGCGCAATGTTTCCTGTGTCCTGTCTGCCCACAGTTAATGGGACTGGCAGCTCATTCTGCACTGTGCTGTGTTGTGCAATACTAGTTTTCCATACTGTAATAATACTGGAAAGACAGTCTCTTCCCGTTAGGAACTAACCTTTGCACTGGCCCCTCATTACTGGTGAGAAAGAAGGAAACAGAAGACAAAGCTCGAAAATACTGAGAATTTCAATAGCATATAGTGAAAATGAACAGAATACAGAACAGCAAGGCAGAGGAACAGCAAGAGACATCAGAGAAGTTGGACAGGATCGATCGTAGAGCCTCAGCTCAGCTCTTCCAGAGCTCTCATGGAGCGACCATTTGTCCACAAAACCTCAGAAGACATACCTCTGTTTCATTAATAAATAAACCCATAAATAATATAAATAGTATGAATAATTGCAGGAAAAGTAGCTTATAGTTACTGGTAATAATAATCAATAAATAAAGACAGAAATAAAAGGCTCGGGTATTTTAAAGGGAGAGTGTGAACCCAGACAGGCTGATCTCTCTCTCACTTTCGCCCAGCCGATCCAGAGAAAATCCACCAGACAGACTGCTGTCGCTGAAATCTCCACTGTTTGGCACAAGCGCAGCTCGGACTGCAGGACTAGCTTGCCTCTGAATGTTGTTAGAGTTAGGGTTAGGTTTGAGTCGTGATTTAGAGTAAGTGTTGGGGGGTTAAGGTTAGGGTTAGGGTTACATTGCAGTGAATGTGGCCGGGAAACTGCAGTGTTTTTTCAGGCAGCCTGAACCTACCTAACCCTAACCTACTTTCAGATACTTTGGCACCGACAGGGAAGGCTGCTGTCCCGCGTGCTCCCATTCGTCCTTCTCTATTTCTTTATTTTTTGTTGTTTTTCTTAAAGACATTTCATTGCCAGCAACTACTGCTGCACGCTGTATTGTTGTGCATTTGATAAATAAACTTTTATTTTATCTCCTATATGGAGAGGGTTTTTGTTTCTATACTGAATTGTTGTATTTTAAGGACTCTCAGAGCATAAAAACTATAAAGCAGATACAGAATTAGATACAGATATAAACTATTTCATCACATATTCTTAAACATTATTTAGGCAGAGATGAACCTTTTTCAGACATTGCACAGGAGCCGGGAGCCAGCAGACAAAGAGCCTGAGTTCACTGCAGGTCCCAGAGAACGTACTCTTCACCAGGTATAGAGAAAAAGAAGAAAAGGACAGAAGAGCAGTGTGATGTAATGAAAGATGGCCTTGGGAGAAAGCCACCATCTTGGCTCCAAACCCAATGCTGCTGCTTTGAGCCAAGATGGCCACCGGTCACTTGAGAAAGCCTGCAGCAGGTCTGAATCAGAGTGAGTGAGGTGCCACACGAGGGAGCAGCCCTCAAGGGTGGGTTGAAGTGCACAGCTGAGGAGCAGGCTGGCCAGCTGAGCCAGGGATCATGGAGGCGTCAGAGGCTGGAGGAGTGTAGATGACACAGCTTGAGATCTGAGTATATCCTGTACCTTAGCCGCAGCCAGTCAGAGAGACAGAGTAAGCAAACAGAAAACCTGGCTTTGACCAAACAGGACCAGCCAGAAAGTCAGTGGAGAGTCTTCTCACAGTGTGAGGGAGGAGACTTAGCGACAAGAGAGAATGTTCAACAGAGACGAGAAGAAAGATGTTACGTGCTTGAGCAATATATTTAGCAGAAAAGCATTAACAATAGCAATGATCCGATTTCTCTGAATCTTGGTTTGAATTAATTAAACTAATTAAAAAGTTCTAAACGTTTTTTTTCTTGCAGTTTGTGAACCACTGCGTGTGTCACTGCTGGGGTCGATCAGAGAGAGGGGTCAGCTGGTCTGTGGGTCAGCGTGTGGACGTGGGGTCAGGGAGGTCAGAGGGGAGACAGGGACATCATTCAGTTACATTTTTCCAGGGGCTCCACTGGCTCCATTGGGAGGGGAAGTAGAGGTCCCGGGATCGAACACGCAGCTTACTGACACCCTTGGGGATCACGCCATTCGTGGAGCGCTCCGTCTGGGAGGGATAGGGAGAGAGCGGGAGTCAACACACAGGGGTCATTAACTCTGTCAACAGGACACAGCAATCTGATCCCCCTGCACAGGAATCTGATCTGCAAATGTTAGTGAGACTGGACTGCAGTCATTAACCTCAGGAAACGTCACGTGTGTGGAGTGGTGGGATAAAAGCCAACAGGAGCTGGACCGAGGAAGCAGTGTTCTGTTCTGATGGTACAGCTCTTTCGGGCATGATTTCAATATGTCTAACAGGATCACAAACAGACCACAAAAGAGCTGAGCTACAGTCTACAGATACAGTCCCTCATCCCTGAAAGAGCCAAGCCCTTCTCCGAGTCTACAGTCCCGCATCCCTGAAAGAGCCGAGCCCGTCTCCCGGTCTGCGGTCCTGTCCCAGAGGGAGCCGGGCCCCTCTCCCAGTCTGCGGTCCTGTCCCAGAGGGAGCCGGGCCCCTC